GCCATCCTCAACGAACCTTTCAAGGGAGAGATGAACCGAGGAAACTTCCTGGAAATAAAGAACAAGTTCCTCGCCAGGAGGTTCAAGGTAGGTTCTCGTTTTTATGAATTGAAGGAAAACACTGATAAGGGAAGAGTGAATCTAAAAGGACCTTTTTCATTATCGGAGAACTCTAAAACCCTCTCTGCTCTCTCCCTCCAGCTGTTGGAGCAGGCGCTGGTGATCGAGGAGCAGCTGCGTCGCGCCGCCTACCTCAACATGTCCGAGGACCCCTCCCACCCCTCCATGGCCCTCAACACCCGCTTCAGTGAGGTGGAGTGTCTGGCCGAGTCCCACCAGCATCTCAGCAAGGAGTCCATGTCCGGGAACAAGCCGGCCAACGCCGTCCTGCACAAAGGTGACACAGGAAGTCATGCAAAAGCAGATCAAGTGGAACTCATTTGTTGGCCAGTTTGATAAAGTCTCAGGTTTATTTCTACAAAAAGTCACATCCTATTCCTCAGGTTTTAAGAGCTTTTTTTACTTTTCTTTGGTTTTATTTGAACATTATAATGCTCAAACGAGTGAATTGCTCTTACTTCTGACTTGTGGTTAATTAGGCTGCTGCTCCTTTTGTACACGTTTTCAATGTTCTTTTTTTTAAAGACACATTTCTCTTCTATATTGAAAATAACTAAAATTACAAAAGTTAGTTTGACGATAAGGTGGTGAAAAAGCATGTAGACAATTAGAGGGCCACAGGAAATGTTAGAGATAGAATCTATTGCAATGGAAGGAAATTAAACTATTTTATAATTAAAAATGTTGCATAAAATAAACAGTCATAAATAAGCAATCATAAATCTGATTGATCAAACAAACCGTACAGTGGGTGAGTGTCTATAATTTCTTATCTCCCCCCTCTCTCAGTGCTGAAGCAGTTGGAGGAGCTGCTAAGCGACATGAAGGCGGATGTCACCCGCCTCCCGGCAACCATCGCCCGGATACCGCCGGTTGCCGTGCGACTCCAGATGTCAGAGAGGAATATCCTGAGCCGGCTGGCGAGTCGAGGATCAGAGACACAGACACAGTCACAGTCACAGACACAGTCACAGACTCAACAGGTACAGAGCCGGTCTTTATCTCAGCTGGACTGATGATCACTCTGCAGTAAAACGTTCATCAGCTACCGTGGAAACCAACATGAGGGTTACATCCTGACATGTTGAGCTTTACCAGCTGAAAACACATTCTGCTTTCTTTTGGTTCTTCTTACTTACATGATTAGAGACGATTTAGAACATGGCGTTTGAGAGGATGTTTACATGTATTATTGTAACTATGCCAAATTTATAAATGTAAGAATTTGTGCTTTAGTATTTTTCGTTAGTCTACAGACAATTATTTGTTGTTAAATTATATTGGAACTTTTTCCATATTTTTTAGCTTTTAAGCCAATAAAAAGCAACGCACTCAACAGTGCTACCTCAGAAAAAGAGCTACAATAGATTATTTAGAATTGTCTTTGCTTGAAGAAACACTTTTTCACTATCCTGCCAAATGTTGGGTAAGAACATTGTGCGATGGGAGAGGAGCGAAGCATCTCTGAGCATGAAAAGCAGAGGAATGAACTCCATGGATTATTACTAGGGCCGGGACTCGATTAAAACAATTAATCTAATTAATTAGAGGCTTTGTAATTAATTAATCGAAATTAATCGCATTTTTAATCGCATATAAATATTTGACCTGAGAACAGTGAGAAGCAATTTTTTTCACATGGATTTTAGTATACCATTAGGCGCATTCACACCGCAGTACTTTTCCCACAAAGGTTCATGAGAACTTAGTTCATGAGAACAAATGAAGCCGCTGACGTCACTTCTTCTTCTTCTGCTTTGGGTTTACTGGCAGGCCGCAAACCACTTCACGGCGTATACTGCCGCCCAAAGTCCCCGGCCGGAAGTCCCCGGAGTTGGGGACTGGCTCCAGTAGAAGCTGCTGGGAGCTCCAGCAGCTTCTACTGAAGCCTTCCGAGTAAATCGCCAGAACGCCGACACCTCCTCATCTCCACCGCTCCCATGTTTTATTTTGTGTTGCCATAAGTTAGTCTCTCTGCGTTTCTGCGCTGGGCTAATGCTAATAATGCTAATGCGAGGATAATAAAATGGCGGCTTCACCAAACTTTTTGGGAGTTTTACGGGGCGTGGTTTGCAATCCGCCCAGCCAATCAGAAATATAGCTCTTTTCTCACAAGAGAGCCGTACGAAAGTCCCTGCTCTCTTAGCAGCTCTCTGCTCTCTAGCAGGGACTTTTCGTGGGGGTAAAAAGGTTCTCATGAACTAATTTTAGTACCGGCTCTTTTTGGTGTGAACGCGATAAAAGAGGCTAACGTCCACGCTAGCTTCCACGCTAGCTGCTATATGTTTTGCATTGAGGTGATACTTGAGGCTTGATGTGCTGCGGTGATATGCGAATTCCTTTTTGCATAATTTGCACACAACCGTGCTCTTATCGACGCTTCCATCCGTCCGTTTTTTAAAACAACATTTCCCACTGTTGTTCACTGTGGTTTGTTGTTGTCTGAAGTCATGAACGTTAGTTGGTGCTCCAGTATAATCGGTACGCCTGAAACTCATCCAGTGAGAAACGTTCCGCGGTGCAAAAATTAGTGCGATTAAAATGCGTTAATTTTTTTGTAATTAATTAATCTTAATTAACGCGTTAAAGTCCCGGCCCTAATTATTACATATAGGTTTATTGTGTAAATGGTAAATGAAAGTTAGCACACACATAGGTGAGCTGTTGTTTGAACGTACATTTTATATGCATGTATTTTATTGTGTTGTATTTTTATTAGGGCTGTCAGTCGATTAAAATATTTAATCGCGATTAATCGCACATTTGTTATCTGTTCTAAATGTACCTTAGAGGAATATTTTTCAAGTTTTTAACACTCTTATCAACATATGAGTGGACAAATATGCTTTATGCAAATGTTTGTTTATTATCATTTGATCAATGACAAATATTCTCCTGAATATTCTCAACACAACAACCTGGAAACTCTCTCTCTCTCTTCACTCTCTCTTCACTCTCTCTTCACTCTCTCCCAACCCTGTCTACTTCTCTGCACTGAGCCAGTTGCTCAAACAGACGAGCCTGTTTACAGTTGTCGGTGAAATGCCGCTCCTCTGTCTTCATAACAGTCAAAGCATGAGACTGAAGTTCCCACCTAGGGTCAAAATAATGCGCTGTGATGTGCAGTCGACACGTTGGATGCGATCCGAATGATCTCACATAGTCCCTCGTCCTCCACGATGTTAAGCTGTAGTGCAAGCTGTAGCCGCCCATTTAGCTATCGCTGTTGAATGCTTGCTGCTCGTAGAAGTGTCCAGGCGTCTCCCCGGCAAACTTTCAAGCGTGGTCTGACGCAAGCGAGCGGCAGGAGCGGGGCTGTCAGCATCAGCTGTGTGCTTGGCTTGCTGTTTAAAACACCTTTTTTGTATCCATATGTCTCACTAGAATCTCCCACCATCCAACTAACAACAACAACAACGTCAAGCCTTTGGGCTCTGAAACTACGGGGCGGGCCGAGGACAAATACACATGCGCTAATCGCACGTTGAAATAATTAGTGCCGTTAAAAAAAATTGCGTTAACTTGACAGCCCTCATATTTATACCTACCGCAACGATCATGACCGCGTTTCTCAAAATGTAGAACTATTCCCTTTCTTTAATATCCAATGATTAATAATAGTGACATTCTTCTTCCTGTTTTCCTCCTCCAGATGTCGCAGCAGCCGCAGCAGCAGCCGCAGCAGATGTCGTCGCAGCAGCCGCAGCAGCCGCCGCAGCAGCCGCAGCCGCAGCCGCAGCAGCAGCATCAGCAGCAGCAGCAGCAGTAGACTGAAAATCGGCGCTTTACCTCGAAAACCAACCCCCTGCCTCACCTCGACATTCCTGATTGGTGCACAGCAGACTGACGGACAACGCGCTCAAGCTTGAAGCCACGCCCAGTTCACGTCCCCCCCCTAAACAGACTTTAAACAGAGTTTTTCTGGAGGATCGAATCCCTTCCCCAACGTTGAGACTGGACAGAAAAGCTATTTTTTTTTTTTTTTCTCCTTTTTTCAATTTCTGTATTAATATTATTGATATAATGTTATTATGATGGTTTTTTGGGACCTAAATAAAAAAATGTTATAAAGATTTTGTTTGTGGTCAGTTGGGGGAGGGGGTTACGGTGGCCTTCTGTGTTCACATCAGAGTAAAATGACCTAATGCTATCATTTAATTCATGTGTTTAGATGTTTTTACTTTCCGTAAGGGAAGGATAACTAAATTGGCTTCAATTCTAAGTACAGGACCCTCCTGTAAATGTATCTCAGATATACCTTTTTGATGTTAAATTCATTGTAGGACTTCTTCATTAATTTAATGTTAACTGATAATCTGCTTTAACAAATGTACCCATCTTTCCAATTTTTACTTCTTTTATATTTTAATGTGTAGGGAGTTTATGTCCAACACTCAGACAAAATGCGGATATAATAGAAGTACAAAATCTTTTCATAGTATACTGTTCTCTCAGTTAGTACTCGGAAGTCCGTGTAGGAATACAAATAAGAGAACAAAATATTTTTTCTAAATATTTAATAAAAATACCATGTTCCTTGTTCTGTCTCAAAGATAGTTGGAATGTATTTTAACTTTATACCAGTTTTGAACCACCCAAATCGTATTTGTTTTAGATGGCTGCTTGATTGGGTGATTCAAGTATAGATTTGGACTGTCTAATTATTTAGACTTTTTCAAGTAGAACACAATACTGCAAAACCTGCTTTGAGTTCATGTGCAGTCAAAGCATCTTTTATCAAATACTGGTATCAATCAGCTATTCCTATTTGTCACCAGTAGACAATAACATTAAAAAAACATGGACAAACTTTTATGGATAAATCAGGGCAAAAACATAGCATTTATTTTGGAAATATGAATTTATTTGAGATCCCCGTCAATCAACATAACTGCTTTTTAAATGTCAAATGTAATCTTGATTTTTAAGCAGTACAGAAACATCAGCTAACGCAGTGGGAAAGCTCAAGCACTCACAGATGTAATCTATATTTCTCTTTACATTTTAAATAATCCATCTATGATATCTACAGTCTCACCGTTTCATTCATAAAAAGCCTCAGAAATATACAGAGGAGTCGCATTCAAGCAGAAACATTCGAACCACAGCTGAATTACACAGAACAGGTTCACGAGACAACAGAAACAGGAAGTGCTGCATCACAACTGTTACATAACTCAAACTGAGGCTGGACGGACACACGCATGAGGAAAATATATCCAAATTGTTCTTGTGTTTGAAACGGAAATACATCAGTAGCAGTACCAATACTGACATCAAGAGGGCAGCTTTCCTGAACAATACTGTACAAAACAGCTGGCAAACAAAATAAATGGTCAGGTGACAAAGCAATGGAAGAAAAAGTCACATAACACTTCCTGTCCCTTGTAAAAATGTTCTATCGAACTTTCTGAGACCCATTTTTGTAAATCCCTTTATGTAGGTGAGAGAAAAAAATCATATAATATAATCCAGAGAGCTTTAGCCATATATGGCATATTGTACCAGATGAACAAATCCTGGTTCAATGGATTTATGACATGCAGTAAAGTTTAAAAATACATTTCTTTTTTGTGTTTAAACCCCTTGGCTAAAATAAATATGACTTCCTTTTATTTTGTCGAGAGGATAATACAAGAACCAGGAAGAAAAACATCGTGTTTTTTAATGTACTCATAATTGAACTGTCCTGAAACAAGAATATTACATTCACTCCGGAGAAATGTATGTAGAAGAAAAGAGAAAAGAAGAGAAGGAGGCACTGGACTGGAGCACATCACAGACCGAGCATGGAGCTTTTCTGAGGAAGAGGAGGATGAAGAGCAGGAGGATGAAGAGCGGGAGGAGAGGCTGGGTTTCGGCTCAATGGCGTCGGTGCAGACTCGTCCTGTAACTCTGTGTCCATCCCTGAAGAGCTGCTCAGTAGAAGAAATACACTGAGGAGGGAGAGCAGAGGAGTTAGAGTGGATGGACGATTAGGAATGATTTTGACTATTACAATTCTACAACAACTGACAAACTGCATCTGATACTTCTTTTGTAGACATTTTTTCAAACACTTCTGATATCAAACATTTTCAGTAGTTTGATTTGCCATCATTCATATTCTGAATGACAATCGTTTGTATTTTTTTAGGGTCAATAATATGTTATTTTTTTCTAAATACACTTGTAAAAATCTTTAAAACAATTATTTTCTGTCTCCCTGAAACAGAAATACAAGCCTAAATCCCTGTTGGTCTGAAAACAATTCTGCACAAGCTGAAAGGTAATGGGTCATAAAAACAGTTCCTTTGAGCAAATGTCTGTTCAGACATCCATTGTGTGCAAAATTATTACATTTATTAGTACATTTCTGCCCATAAACGTAATGTTTTCCTTCGAGGAATCATGATGTCGACCCTATAGCAAAGACCAGAGGGTAAAACTAAATGATGAGGATTTATTCATCCTGAGGGTGCCACGAATATCAAAAGCCAATTTAATGAAACTCTTGTTTTGAGTCACAAATCAAAGTGGTGGTCAGAGCAGGGGCACTTTCACAACACAGGAGAGTGACAGGAAATGTAACAGGAAACATCTGACTGAATTATACCAGAAAGAAATACTGTTGCAAATGAGGTAGCAGATATTTTAAAGAAGAGAACCCTTTTAAAAAATAAGGAAAGTTTGCTATTTGAAACTGAAGATTATTTACTTACAGAAGACGACTCCAAAACAAATTACACCAATGACTGCCATCATGATCATCATCTGGAGGGAAAAGAGACAAACAAAGTCACATCATAAATTCACGAATAACCTTAATATCTTTTATGTTTGAAATCTGCTAAACAAAGCCTTGAAATTAGAGGGGACATAGGGGACACACAAAAAAATGTCTGTGTTGTTTAATTTGTTTCCATTTGAACTTTTCTCCACGAACACGGGATAGTGTTTTAGTGTGGGGTATTTTGGTTCAAATATAATAGGCAAAGCTACACATTATGGACCTACGTACTCAATAAATAAATCAACATGATGACATAGTAGTGACAGACAGGAAATCACATCACCTCAGTGGGGGGAGGGGGAGAGAGATTAACAGGAACAAGGAGAGGACAGGGGAGAGAGATTGGTACTGGCTTGATGTGTGGGTGTGGCTGTGTGTGTGTGTGTGTGTGGGGGGGGGGGGGGGGTTGTGGGTTACTGAGAACAAAGCAAAAATAGAGAAACCAGATGTTAGTCGAAAATGAATGTAACACAAGGAAATGATGAGTAAGTGAGTAAATGGATTTGTTCCGGGGACTATTTCCAGCGGCGGATTAATCTGCATTTGGGGCTCTAGTGAGTATTTGGGACGGTGTGTGTGGAATTGAGTAGAATGGTAACGAAGGAACCTGTCACCCACTGCATCACGACGGCTTACTGATGTGTTTGTATTAGGTTTTGGACAACAATGGCCCAGAGGAAGAAGTTATATCAGGATTTGATACATATATAATAAGATATAGTGTTTATGTTCTAAAGGCATTGGTTGAAAACTCATTTAACCCTCCTATTGTCTTTGTTCTCCCCCCCCCCCCCCCCCCCTACTTTGGTGTTCGCGGTCAAATTTGACCGGTCCTGTTTTAACTGCTATTACATTAACACAAAAAACATTAATCATCAACAAATTTCATTGAACACCCTTTCAAACTGTAAACATTGTATCAGACTACTGGTATACATGAACAACTGCAGTAATATAGCCTACAAAGAATAGACACTGAACATGTATTGCGTGGGCCAGGTGTGATCCATGTGGGGGGATGGGCACATAAGAGCGGGAAATGTGTCAAATTGGTGTGTGTGTGTGTTAGTGTGTGTGTGTGTGTGTGTGTGTGTGTGTGTGTGTGTGTGTGTGTGTGTGTGTGTGTGTGTGTGTGTGTGTGGTGTGTGTGTGAGTGCCAGATGTGATTCACATGGGGGGATTGGGCACATAAGGGGGGAACACATCTAGAGTATGTGTGTGTTTTCCTTGTACGATGTGAGGGTCTAAGGACAGAGGGTCTAAGGACAGAGGGTGTAGTATTGTCATACTGATATTCTGTACAAACTGTGAAGACCACTGAGACAAATGTAACATTTGTGATATTGGGCTATATAAATAAACATTGATTGATTGATTGATTGTGTGTGTGTGTGTGTGTTTGTGTGTGTGTGCGTGTGTTTGTGTGTGTGTGTGTGTGTTTGTGTGTTTGTGAGTGCCAGGTGTGATTCACATGGGGGGATTGGGCACATAAGGGGGGGAACACATCTAGAGTATGTGTGTGTGTGTGTGTGTGTGTGTGGGGGAACACCATGGTTGTTACAAAGTTGACTAAATCATCCAAAATTCAATGAAAGTGGTGATCAGCAATTTTATATGTTCAAATGTCTACTGTGAAGGATATCATGAAGCCTTAATGCAATCGAATGTAAAACAAAAAAGTTATGATTGATGAAAGTAGTAAATCGGTCAGATTTGACCCGAAGACAACAGGAGGGTTACAAATCATCAACACCCCCAAAGACTTCACCAAACACACCACAAAGAACACGGCCTGGGTGTCATTGGCGTTAATATTAAAGGCTATAATGCTTATGACCTCACTTGTAAAGACGTACACATGAGCGTGTGTTTTAGTGTGTATTGGGGGTGGGTGGAGTTACATCACAAATCACAGCTGGCTCTATAATCCCACACTGACACTGTAATCCAGATTGGGATTTCTCTCTCTGACTTCCTGGTCACTGTCAGTAATCCTCCTCTGCCTCTCTAAACGGCAGCTTCTGATTGGTGGATGTGGAACCAGCACAGTCTGTCCGTCAGAGGCGGAGCGATGGACGGACAGAGTGAGATAAAAATGGATTGGCAGCCGAGGCCGGATTGATGAATGAGCAGGGGAGAGCGAGATGTGACGAGGGAGGGGAATGAGGGATAAAGATGGCGGCTGATCTCACACCGGATGGTTCGTTCCATTCGGCTGATGAATTTACCATCATCATCATATTTTAAAGAATGCTTTCGTTTATATCAATACACAATTTTGTCCTTAGATAGGTTTCAATGGTGGATTGTCACCAAGAACATTCAATCGAGTTATTAATTACAAAGTCGAAGTACTTGCACTTTGAGATGTAGTGTTGAAGACCAACAAGTATTATAAATTGTAAATTCTCAGAGGCTATATATTGAAGGAATATTGTAACTTTTCACTCTATAGCAGAGTAAAGAATATGATGCACTGCTGTAGATTAAAATCCAACAGTATATTAAGGAGTTAAATCGAGCACAAATGTAAACACACATTGAAAGTATACCATCAATATCATGTATTATAGTAAAACACTGACAGGGAACATTTTACTGCTGATTGTACTTTTTCTAGCCATTTATTACTACTGATTGCACCTTTGAGTGCACAACTTCACTTGTAGTGTAGTATTTGTACTTGAGTAAAGGATCTGATTATTCCACCTTTGCATCAATCAATGATATGTTGAAGCTATGGGAGCATAAAATGGTGTGAATACTTAATTTTTTGCCTTTTAGATCTCCAGTGGTGTCTCGTCTCGCATTTTTTTATGATCAGCAAAAGGAGCAAGGTGCAGAAATACTCCTTATGAAGTACTGAGAAGGGCCAATGCATGATGGGATACAACACATGCCCACCTTGCAGTTTTTCCACCAGTACTTGTTCTTGAGTTTGGCGGCGCTGCTCTCGAACTGCGAGGCTCCGGCCTGCAGGGCGTCGGCCCGGTCGTCCAGCTCCGACAGCTTCTGGTCCCTCTCCAGGACTTTGTCCACGTTCACACGCATGATGTCCACCACCTGAGGGACAACAACACCTGTCAGCATCACAGCCTCCCTCCTGGGATCAATTTGGTGTTATATCTTCATTCATTGGTCATTTTGAAAGCCTTTTGATTTGATTTTGTGCTAAAGTATTCCAAAAAAGCCTCAAGTTAACCATTTGTTTCCATTGAGATTATTCCATACAAATGTGACTCCTCGTCTTTGGGCGGTTTCCTCACCTCGTCCACTTGTGCCTGTGTCTGCTGCAGTCGTCTGTTGCTGGTGAGGTTGGGGGCCGGAGCCGCGGGGCCCCCCTCACCGTCTGCACCGGCACCTTCTGGAGTCGTCCTGCAGAGCGAGAGGTGAGACAGACTGCTATCTCATACTGATATTCTGAACAATCTGTGCTGTTGTATTTGTAAAGTGTCTCTACTGTAGGCTATTTTTATTATATGTACAGCACCTTGGCTCGACCAAAAATAGTTTATAAATGTGCTATATAAATAAAACGTGATTTGATTTGATTTGATTTGAGAGGAACGAGTGTGACTCGTCACAGAAACCTTTCAGTAACAGTAAAAGTCATTCTTCACCTGAATGGCCTGAAACATTATCAATTATTATGCTGATTATGTTCTAAACCAATAGTATGTATGTTAAAATGACAGATTTTTTTATTCTATTGGTGATGTCTTTAAATGTCTTGTTTTGTCAGTCTCAAACCTAAATATATTCCCTTTAATATGATGTAAAACTAAGAAAAGCAGGAATTTCCAATATTTTAAGGGCTACAAACAACATTTTCGGCCATTTTGTATGAAAAATGACTTGAACCATCAATTGATTATCAAAGAAGTTCCTATTATTTCCATTCAATTGACATAATGTTGGACCACTATAATGAATCTTCATCACTTTTAGTCTTTTAATTTAGAGATGTTTTATTTGGTGTTATACTGCCAAAAGTGACAATTACAGGACATATTAAGTTATAAAACATAGTGTAAAAGTAGTTTAATCATAGCAGTCCCCATTGGCAGTCGGAGAGGTTCAGGCTTTGGCAGAAAAACTCATAAGTGTATTGAAATGTCTAAAAGTGCATTTGAATGTTTATAAATTAAACGTTGTGTTATTGTGGAGGAGGATGGGATATTTTGTATTACAAAGTTATAGGGTTGCTTTTCATGGCTGCAGAGATGTGGTAGCAAACAAAAAATCACAACTTTGAAACTCAGCCACAAATGTATTAACATCAACAGATAACATCTGATGTTTGAGTCTGTGATGTGTTTACAGAAACCAAAGAGAGAGTAGATCTGAGAAAATGGCAACATCTCTGCACCAAGACAGTTTTGATGACAGTTCTATTAATCTGTGTGAGGTAATAAAAGAATAAAAGCCAGATTATAAAAACAGATTAATGCATTGGTGCATACAATATTTGAATCCAGTTATACGCTTAATAAATATTCTGAAATGGGTAGATATGCACAATGAGTAATCCTACTGCTGGGTTTCTACGAGTAAAATAGTGAAGGAAGGACTTTTTACTTGTATTTTCAAAAGGTATTGCTGTGTTTGTTTTTTAAAGTTAAGTACACGATTTGAGTTCATACTCCACTGTCTTTCCTTTTTAACCAGTCAGCACCTTATAAGGCAACAGAACTGTCCTTAGACAATTCATTTTAAAACATGAATTCAAAATAGTAAACATGACTCATCAAACGTTAGCATCCCTGCATATAATTAAAGTACAAGAGAGTGTAAGAAAGAATGCAATCCGAACAATATGTAAAGCTGTTTTACACACAGCACACACACAGCAGGTGGTTTCATTTGATGGTGACACACATAGCAGGTCCCTCTCTCTGCTCTCCTCTCAGGAGCAAAATGGAGAAAGATTAGTGCACGCAATAATACCTCCCCCTCCTCCCCCACAACACTGAACAAATACAATAAAACAATCTTTATCATATGTTTTGCTTTTTCGAAAAACAACTACTGGTCATTTTAAGCGACACATTTCATTCAGTTCTTGTTTATGCTCAGCTGAATATTGGTTTGATGGTGTGAAGAGTAGAAACGCACTTTCGCAGTAATGATAGTTTTGCAGGTGAATCATTGTGATACTTCGTCGCCTCCCAGTTTTTCCACAGTACCGAGTTGTATTAAAGCAACAAACACGATATTAAACCAAAGGTCAACATCTCGGAAACACACATTAAAATGAAAGAAAAGTTGCTTAACTGCATTGAGCGGAATGTAACAAAATGCTTTCAGCCGTTTGACCACTTCGTAATGTGAAAAAGTAAACAGATATTTCGCATATTATATAAAAACGAAATGAAATATGTTACTCACATCTCAGCGGCAGGATGATGGAGATAATCTGAGTCCGAGAGAGAGGGGTGAGGAGGGGGAGGGAGATAAAGAGAGAGAGAGAGAGAGAGAGAGAGAGAGACCAATTGAATGTAAATGGTGGTTGAGTCCAGTCTTCTCTTGCCCCGATATTCTAATTCACTTTTCTTTCAAAATAAAAATACTAGAATTAAAGAAGCTGCACAAATAAGGTGAAGGTGAAGTTCACCTGTAAAAAATACACACTGTATAGTGTAGTGTAGTATGTTTGTAAATATGCAGTAAAAACACATTGAAAAGTATCTTAAACATTTGCAACATTTTGTAATTTGTCGATAATATCAGAAAAAACTACATTATAGTATGTCGAAAAAAAAGGCATGGTGTAGTATGTCGAAAATATTTTTAAAAAGGCACAGTATCTTATGTCAAAAATAATATACTATGTAATTTTTGTTTTTCAGCATACTTTACTGTGTCGTTTTTTCTGATATTTTCGACATACTATACTAAGTATTTTTTAAATGTATGTCTTCTTTTTCGATTTTCAACAAACTATAATGTATTTTATTTATTTTTTCGACATACTATGTATTTTTTTCTGATATTTTCGACAAAACTATACTATGTGTCCGGCAGTGGTTCAGTCAGTGGTTCAGTCAGTGGTTCAGGCAGTGGTTCAGTCAGTGGTTCAGTCAGTGGTTCAGTCAGTGGTTCAGTCAGTGGTTCAGGCAGTGGTTCAGTCAGTGGTTCAGTTAGTGGTTCAGTCAGCGGTTCAGTCAGCGGTTCAGTCAGCGGTTCAGGCAGCGGTTCAGGCAGTGGTTCAGGCAGTGGTTCAGTCAGTGGTTCAGTCAGTGGTTCAGTCAGTGGTTCAGTTAGTGGTTCAGTCAGTGGTTCAGGCAGTGGTTCAGTCAGTGGTTCAGTCAGTGGTTCAGTGGTTCAGTCAGTAGTTCAGTCAGTGGTTCAGTCAGTGGTTCAGTCAGTGGTTCAGTCAGTGGTTCAGGCAGTGGTTCAGGCAGTGGTTCAGTCAGTGGTTCAGGCAGTGGTTCAGGCAGTGGTTCAGTCAGTGGTTCAGTCAGTGGTTCAGTCAGTGGTTCAGTTAGTGGTTCAGTCAGTGGTTCAGGCAGTGGTTCAGTCAGTGGTTCAGTCAGTGGTTCAGTGGTTCAGTCAGTGGTTCAGTCAGTGGTTCAGTCAGTGGTTCAGTCAGTGGTTCAGTCAGTGGTTCAGTTAGTGGTTCAGTCAGTGGTTCAGTCAGTGGTTCAGTCAGTGGTTCAGTCAGTGGTTCAGTCAGTGGTTCAGTCAGTGGTTCAGTCAGTGGTTCAGTCAGTGGTTCAGTCAGTGGTTCAGCGGTTCAGTCAGTGGTTCAGTCAGTGGTTCAGTCAGTGGTTCAGTCAGTGGTTCAGGCAGTGGTTCAGTCAGTGGTTCAGTCAGTGGTTCAGTCAGTGGTTCAGTCAGTGGTTCAGGCAGTGGTTCAGTCAGTGGTTCAGTTAGTGGTTCAGTCAGTGGTTCAGGCAGTGGTTCAGTCAGTGGTTCAGTCAGTGGTTCAGTTAGTGGTTCAGTCAGTGGTTCAGTCAGTGGTTCAGGCAGTGGTTCAGTCAGTGGTTCAGTCAGTGGTTCAGTGGTTCAGTCAGTAGTTCAGTCAGTGGTTCAGTCAGTGGTTCAGTCAGTGGTTCAGTCAGTGGTTCAGGCAGTGGTTCAGGCAGTGGTTCAGTCAGTGGTTCAGGCAGTGGTTCAGTCAGTGGTTCAGTCAGTGGTTCAGTGTTTCAGTCAGTGGTTCAGTTAGTGGTTCAGTCAGTGGTTCAGTCAGTGGTTCAGTTAGTGGTTCAGTCAGTGGTTCAGTCAGTGGTTCAGTCAGTGGTTCAGTCAGTGGTTCAGTTAGTGGTTCAGTCAGTGGTTCAGTCAGTGGTTCAGGCAGTGGTTCAGTCAGTGGTTCAGTCAGTGGTTCAGTCAGTGGTTCAGTTAGTGGTTCAGTCAGTGGTTCAGTCAGTGGTTCAGTCAGTGGTTCAGGCAGTGGTTCAGTCAGTGGTTCAGCGGTTCAGTCAGCGGTTCAGTCAGCGGTTCAGGCAGCGGTTCAGTCAGTGGTTCAGTCAGTGGTTCAGTCAGTGGTTCAGTTAGTAGTTCAGTCAGTGGTTCAGTCAGTGGTTCAGTCAGTGGTTCAGTCAGTGGTTCAGTCAGTGGTTCAGGCAGTGGTTCAGGCAGTGGTTCAGTCAGTGGTTCAGGCAGTGGTTCAGTCAGTGGTTCAGGCAGTGGTTCAGCGGTTCAGGCAGTGGTTCAGTCAGTGGTTCAGGCAGTGGTTCAGTCAGTGGTTCAGGCAGTGGTTCAGGCAGTGGTTCAGTCAGTGGTTCAGGCAGTGGTTCAGGCAGTGGTTCAGGCTTGGACTGGGAGCTGGTTGAAGTCTCCGAACAGACCTTAATATGGAATGTGGACTGATACTTGGAGAGGTCTCAGTTCACCTCCTGGTCAAATGTCACTGTGTGTGCAAGTGTATGTCGATTTGCTTTTATTTTCAAATATATCTATACATTATGATGTTCCAGACCTTTGCTTGAGGAAATGTTCTCGAACTGGACCTCGTTGAATTTTAATTGAATACCCCTGGTATAGTATGTCAAAAAAAGAATGTCGTAAATATCATGAAAAACGACATAAGAAGTTTTGTATGTAGTTAATCAGAATCATAAAATGAAATGTTCTATTATGTCATAAACATATTTAAAGTATTTCAGTGTATGCAATAAAAGGTTTTCATGCAATAAAAAGTCACACAAAATATGTTTTATGCTATTAAAATAACATAAATATGTCAAAGCAATTCAAAGAAATAAGCATGATATAAAAATAAATGTTTTAATTGTTAGACAGGTAATGAGACAGCACTGAGTTATTCTCAAGGTATTTTATACATTAAACATTTTAGTCTGTAAAGGAAATGTAGATCCAATGTAAGGATCAAGTAACCAATCCAGGACAAATAGTACATTTTATAGTCATTGAGTTAATCATTCAAACACTCTCTTTCAATGTTTTTTATTCTGTGCAATATTTCATTAAATTGATCAAACATTCAGTCTCGTGACAGAAAGAAAACATTAAAGACCTGATTAAAAAAGAATATGTTGTTTGAGTTGTGAAGAGAGAAGGCGATCCAATCTGCACATTATACAGTATTTTAATAGTCTGGTTATTACAGCAGTGTTCATCGTGCTTTGCTCAAATGCATTACAATGTATTGCATCCTGCCGTGTATGTTTCATGAGGCCTTTAAATCTTTTACATAATTTGATTTATTTCAGTTTTCAGATGTTATTTACATTCAGATAGAACAGTTCACTTAAAGCAGCACTTACACAGTTTCATGAGGTGGGTGATGTTTGCTTCGCTTTAAGTGTTCACTTGCCTTAGCTTTGCTTTCCCTTGACATAAAAGGAATTATTTTACATTGAAGTCCATCTATTTTATCTGGTTACCAGGTGAACATGGCGGGTTATTAACTAAGCAGACATTCATTGGATGAAACGTGTTTCAGTGTTTGAAGGGAGGAACGTTGGAACACTCATATCAACAAAGACAGAAAAGCAGGCACAAGCTATTAAACAAATATTCCTTATTTCTCAAAACACCTCCTGCTAAATGGCTTCTTTCCTCTGCGTATTTACACTCATAAACTCACAGGAAACTGGGAAACTCAGCTTAAATTCACTTTTTATCATTGTTGCAGGTGTATTCGCTCTGAAACCCTTTTCAAATTGTACTCATGCCAGATGAAGTGATATGATACCGAAATATGTCTACATTAGTTTAGATTAATAGCAATGTAAATACTAAATGCAAGGTATAAAGACAATGTTTATTTGCATTGAGCTTTGCTTAATTTACATTATAGAACATGAAGCTTACAAGCATTATACACAGCCCTGTTATGTACATTAGTTACAGTATTATGTATCCTTTACAAACTGTACATTCTTAAAATAGGTTTTAACTTTTGTAAAATAAAAAATGTAAATGCCTTTTTGCCTGTTGTTGCCAAAGAACTTTAAATAGCATATCACATCATAACATATCACATAGGATTTCAAGAGTAATGCTTTCTTTACACATTAATTCCATTAGCATATTAATTATAGGTTGGTCTGTCAGAACTGAAACAATTAGTTGTTTAATCAATTGACAGAAAAATAATTTCTAAGCATTTTGAATTGTTTGTAATTATTTTAAGCAACAATGCCCCACATGTCACCGGTTCCAGACACTCAAGTATGAATATGTGCTTGTTTGAGTCTTCTGTGGTAGTCAACTGAAGATAATAAGCTTTTGGCTATCAAGTCTTTTTTACTCTTCCTATTTGACATTCTCTAGAAAGTAATTGCAGGATTAATAAATCAAATTAAACATTAGTTACAATCCTATATCTGTCCTTTTATACAAGTTGCCTTCTCAACATCTAAGATAAACTATTAGATTAGGCTTAAAGAATTTTTGTGACGGATCTAAAGAAACATTATCTAAAAATCTCCTCAAATAAATCATTGTTTGAAATTAGGACTGCTTGACATTGGACGTTGCCGATATCCAATATAGGCAGATGGTTTTTCCACCTAATTATCAAGCTTCTGTTGAGGAATTTAATATTAATATGCCTACTGTAATCGTGATGGCCCACTGGCAGATGCAGACATAAAATACAATGCAAAATGTTCACCGGGCAAATATAAGAAAACTATCAACTTCTGTCATAACAGAGGAAAGCCTCATATATGGCCGACACTCTATTTAAAGCTTTCAAAGCAGCTACTTTATCATCGTGAATTTCTATTTCACATTCAGAAATCTGAGGTGGAGTTCTCAAATATGCACTTTTAAAATAATTACTAATTAATAGAAAGATGAATTGCTTAATGATGCATTTTCTGGACAGTGTTCCTGAATAACTTTCACTTTAGTGCAGAGAAGGAGTGATACTTCTAAAATGTGGGGAATCAGTTTAAGGCAAGTAAGGCTTTGATAGTTCAACATCTGTCAAACAGGATCTTCTAATTTAGATCCTAATTTAACGTTCAGTAATATCCCAGAAAAGTGGCAATTGGGTCACATTTATGGATTGAAACCTCTGCTATACTTGCACATGACAGAATGACATACAATGAAATAAATCACACAGTAAGAAAAAGCATTTCTTGATGGTAAATAATAAGTAAAACTGTTCAAAGAGCATTAGTGTGAAAACGTGTGCGTCGCTGCCTCTCTGTGCGCCTGCAGCTGAAGTAAATGAGAACAGAAACTGTGCAAACAATCAGATATATTAAGCTCATTGTGCAAAAATAAAAATGGTCCTTTTGTTCAACAAACAGAACCAGTAAAAAAATGTCTAAGTGCCATTTTGTTCTGTTTGACCTTCACTGAGGTGCAGTTACAGCTGATAGCCATGGGAGGGCAGCAGTGGGACATCAAGAGAATTGTTTTTCGCTTTTTTTATGAAGCTTAAATCTTTCTATATTTTACCATAAGGTAAAAGTGTTGCAAGCACATTCGGTTTTCTTTCTTTGTTTTAATTTTCCTGCTCATGCTGGCGGCAAGTGAAAATGACCAAACATCAGACTGGATGCTTTCAAAGAGAACATTTGACATCTGCTGGTTTAAAGCAGCAGATGTACACCTAATCACTTTAGGTGTGTGGAAGTTTCATGGTGAGTGAAAACAACCACAATTTAAACTCGGCACTGAATGAAGAAAAGAGATTTGGAGTGATTATTTACCAGCAGTATGTGTGTGTGTGTGTGTGTGTGTGTGTGTGTGTGTGTGTGTGTGTGTGTGTGTGTGTGTGTGTGTGTGTGTGTGTGTGTTTCAGGGTTTCCTCCAGGTGAGGAGGGGGGTGGCAGCGTTGCGGTAAGGTTTGCTCGTCTCAGACTCGCCGGGGAGGGCGGGTATCTTCTTCTCCTCGCTGTCGGAGTCGTGCACCGTCAGGGGGGTGAGCGTGGGCGACTTCCTGCAGAGGGAGAAGAGTATCTGAACTCTAGTTTTTGTCTGCAGCATAAATGTTTCCCCCACATTGAATCCACACAGAATAATTTACCTTTGCTTTTTCAGTTCAAACACTACATTTGTTATGTATTTGGCCTTTTACAATCATCTCGATATGATGGACTGCTCATTAGTTTAAATAGGTAACATGACCTTCACCCATAACAAAGGTAAACAATACAACCTACCTATTTCTAAAACTGTAATGTTGTGTACTGTGTTTTTGCTAACACATTTAGTTAAAGGGGACCTATCATGCAAAATGCACTTTTTGATGTCTTTTATACATAAAAATGTGTCCCCGGTGTGTTTGTCTCACAAAGTGTCAGAAAACAAATCCCTCTCTCTTTTCCTCCGTACCCACACCTCTAAAAAAAAGAAAAGGGGGGGTGCTAACAAGCAGATCCGGATTTTTCGCTCCTATAACGTCATTGGCGACATCCGGCCCACGTGACACAACAGCAAGTTTACTTGGGTGTTCCCGGAGATGGTTGTGTGGGATGGACCTGATACAATGTATTGATAATAAGCTCAGTAGGCTACTTTTCTTATTAACTAGAAGCATGATGAACTAAAGTGTTGTTTATTGATAAGGAAGTTATATAAAACAAACCCGTCTCCGCTCTGTGTGATGAGTCTCCTGCAGGTCTCCATCTGGACGTCCAGGCCTCTCTTCATGGAGCACATCTCCATGTACTCGTGCAGGTGGAGGTTCATGTCGCTCTTAGCTGTAGCCAGCTCCAGCTGAACAGGAGGGGAAACAAACCACAGTTACATTTCTATGACTGACACTAGACACTCAGCATTGATACTATTTTATGTTGTGAAATGGGAGAAGCTATTTTTGCTCCTCTGTTTCTAGAAGTGAAAGCCAGTCATTTTTCCCATAAGGAATTGTAACGTGACTCGCAGTTGGAGCACTTCAATGACATTCATCCTGAAACTCTTCAGTGGAATTATCAGTGCAAAAGATTAAGAAATGAGTTGGAAAATATCTGGTTCTTTGATTGGAAAAGACAAGGATAAAAGTGTGGATGGTAACTATGGCTTCCAAGGTGCATATCAGCTGGAAACATCCTATCATGGGTTTAAAATTGGGATACTTGCACAGACACAGATTGCAGATAGAATACATTACATTTTAAATTCTTCCTCAATTGTGGGTGACAGGTAATGATTTCAACATCAACATGCCAAAATGACAGAGAGAAACACATTTAAATGGTAAACCCAACAACAGTCCAAACAAAATGTTAACTCTAATCTTCTAATAAAAACATGAATACGTCTGTTCCAATAATAAAACATTATGGACGCCAGCCTTTTCGACCCAGTATGAGAGGTGAATCCTCACAATGTAACGTAACACACAGAATGCATGGAAACAGACTCGCCTCTATCTGGTCGATGGTCTCCTGGTATTCCTTCTCTCTGGATCTGAACATGCACTCTGTGTCTTTGATCACCTCCTCGATGGACTCCTCCTGCTGCTGCAGCTGCAGGCAGAGTGGAGACAATAGGACTGGAGTTAGCAGCAGCCATTATATTTCAATATTTATCAAATGTTTTGCAGATAACGGCTGTTAAAAGAAAAAAAAGTCCATGTTGAGGTAGAGTTTATTGAGTAAAGCCAAATAACAAAAGAGTGCATTCTTACAAACTTGGGAAGCATTTTTTGAAATGTTGGAGTATTTATGAAAATCCAACAGTATATTAGTTGATTCGATTTGCTTGGTCTTTAGATGCTTCACAAAATGTGACAACTCAGGAAAACATTGACATCAAAATACTTGAACTACTCAATCAACCCATGCTTAATTATATAGCGACTGAGAAGTTCAAGTATATGAAGGTATGTTTTCTAACTGTCTAATAAACTGTAGGTGGCAGACTATCCAAATTGGTCTTAACCAATTTATTTTAAATAAGTGATCATAACTAAAAGAAACACAAATATTGAAGAGTTGACAGATTAATTGAAATACCATAATACTGTCAAAAAGTGATGTTTGAGCAGCGACAAGAAGACACAACCGGTGTGAGTGTATCACAGGTGAGTTAAGATAATCTGTTTTCTTTTCTTTTCAGCTCCTGACTAAACAGATTAGGTCTTTAGCCTCTTTGGATTATCTGGTTAAAAACGGCTCACAAGGAAAGACTGGAGCGTCACCAGACTGAACTCAAACACCACAGTGCATCAGGTCAGGACAGAGGGACAGGGAACATCTGAACGGAGAGGGAACACCGAGCGTCACACATTCAAACTGCTGAAGGGTTTACTTTCCTCTAATGTTGCTATGTTTCACTCTTCAAAGATTCAAAGGTTTTATTGTCATATGCACAACGCTACAGTGTAGACATGGCAATGACATTCTTCTGACCTGAGCTCCTCCAACAATGCAACATATATAGTAAAATACAAAAATACAAAATAAAAAGTAGTGCAAAAAGTCTATATATTACTATTTGTGGTTTTGAACAATTCAAGATGAAATATTTGAGGGTAACAATGAATTCCCTATTTAGAATAATCTATTCTTGTACTCTATTTACTTTATGACAAAGGTTTAACTTATAACACTTATGTTGGCTTCAATAAGGGTCAATATGATTTGAAAGTAAAACAATTAAGTGCTTCTGTGACTAAACACAGTAAAAACAGAAAACTGCGTTACCTGTTTTACATTCTTTTTGTAGAAGCCCAATATGTAAATCATATTTGAGCTATTTCAGAATAATAAAGGCAAACTGAACTCTATTTGTGCCTGTCAGGATTAGTGTGCACGCACCTCTCCCTGTGTTTCCACTCCCAGTGGGTATCCAGGGAAATCCTCCCAGAGCAGAAGGGTTTCCTCTGTTTCCTCCCAGGCCAGGCTGTCACAGTCATCGTCAAACTCACACTCCCTCCTGACACACGCACACACACACACACACACACACACACACACACACACACACACACACACACAACACACACACACACACACACACACACACACACACACACACACACACACACACACACACACACCCAACACACACACACACACACACGACACACACACACACCACACACACACACCACCACACACACACACAACACACACACACACACACACACACACACACACACACACACACACACACACACACACACACCACACACACACACACACACACACACAAACACACACACACACACACCACACAACACACACACACACACACACACACACACACACACACACACACAATAGGCATGTAATCAAAATGGTTGAACATCAGTATGTGTGTGAATTATAAGCAAACAAACCTACAGCTGATTCAGCATCCTCTGCATCTGCTCGTTGATCTGATTGGCCGACGTGCTACAGGACTCCTCGTCTTTAGCCCCGCCTCCCTCGCTCTCGGACATGCTCAGTTCGTCTCCGTCTCCGCCCTTCGCCGACTGGCCGCTCGGTTTCCTGGACCGGCCACTCAGAGTGGAGGGGGGCGTGGCCACCTGCTGAAAGGACGCGTGTTGGTTTAAAGGTGGAAGGCTTGTTTCAGGCCTTTTACCAGCCCTCACATACCTGGAACATCTGGATCATGTCCTCACAGTTCCTCTGCTGAGCGACGTCACACAGACGGGCGGTGATGTCGATGCGGCGGCAGATGTCCATGTCCACCTTCATGGCCTTCTCCTGGATCTTACTGTCCAGATCTGACAGGTTCTGATGGAGAGAGAACGGATTACTTCTTCCATTTGTGTTCATTTCTGACAACTTGAAACAGTAGGCCATTGGATGGAGGCATAACAAATAAATTGATCAAAAGGGAAAACATATATAGATTATGGAATCCAAATTCTTCTACATTTCTGAATCCGATAGTCAGTTTTAAACATTTGAAAAATGATGCTAACCACAGCTGGCAGCAGACTTACGTTGCTGACGAGTCCTTTGAAGAGAACCAGTTCGGCCTTCAGCTGCTTCACCCTCATCGCCAGCTCATCCTGACACACCTCGCTCTCCTGCAGGTCCTGCAAACACACACACACACACACACACACACACACACACACACCACACACACACACACACACACACACACACACACACACACACACACACACACACACACATCCACACACACACACACACACACACACACACACACACACACACACACACACACACACACATCACACACCACACACACACACACACACACACACACACACACACACACACACACACACACACACACACACACACACACACACACACACACACACACACACACCACACACACACACACACACACACACACACACACACCACACACACACACACACACACACACACACACACACACACACACACACACACACACACACCCTGGATATTAGAGTAAGATGATAACTGAAGGTGCAGCTATAGCTCAGACCGCTTTGATCATTTAATTTATAAAATGGAATATATAGAGTAAGGTTTTCAACACAAGTCCCCTTACCTCCTCCAGTTCAGCCACTTTCTCCTGCATGTCCATCCTGGCTGTGTACTCCTCTTCCCATCTACAAACACACATACACAAAATATCAATGGCATAATTCAGAGAGAACTTTGCATATCTTGCATCTGATCTTTGTAGCAAAGCAAAAGACTAAGATGACCACACACTATTGGTACTTTTTCCCTCTTTTTTCCTGTTTGTTATCTTGGTATCTTTTTTATTTTTCAGCTGACCTCTAAACCAATAGGAGATCCAACAATGATTTGATTGTAATAGATCATTTGAATCTCAGCAGATAACAGTTGAATGTGGAATATTCCTGGCTTATCATCAGGTCAGCTGAGGTGGGGTAACATTTAGCCTGTGAAGCTTCCTGGTCTTCCTCTCTGCAGCTTTCAGGCAAACACTCCATGTTACCTCCTGACTGACCTACAGCATGAACGCGCCTCTGACCAGCGAGAGTATTACTCAGCAGGTGTTACATAAAGGAAACCATGCGGTGTGCATGTAGAGCACGAACAGTAAGAAGAGCAAGCTGTAACCCTGAGGAGAGAAGACAGAAATAACAAAGAGTGACGAGGCCGAGCCCGACCTTACACTGCAGGACTACGGGCGTTCTGAAATGCAAGACTTATTATTCCTGATTGATTGTCCCTCTAATGAAATGTGATCTCAGGACAATGTACATTTATAAAAGCGAAACAACATAACACAGGAGACAAAGACACCGCATTAGCAGTGTAGCACAACAAAGGGCCATTGGTCGACTGAGGGGGTGCTCTTTTGTCCTGAGTAAAGTACAACTGTTAGACTTTGATGACATTCATATCATCATATTTCTCAGTTAAAGAAAATTGTCTCTCGTTTCTAAAACTCAAGGTCTCTGAATATACCGATCCAACACCAGAGCCTTCTTTGTCCCATGTTTAATATCTCTACACCTCAGAGATTTGCCAGATATTATTGTGGCACTAAAAAGTAGTAGAAAGTAGATGTGACATGATGACTGTCACTGAGCGCAAAACAGATACTAAATGTATAATGACATTCACAAATAAACGGCATTTAATGTGAACCTGCAACCTTATGATTGGCATCCAATCCATATGTAGAGGTCAGTATCGCATGTGTGTCTCTGTAAAATAAATTGGTGCATTTTCTTATATGCTGTTAACAAATCATCTTTGCTCTTCTGGCTTCTTTCCCATGTTTGAGTCCTCTTTGTCCTTCACAATAACAATGCTCAGCTGGAGCACTGAAATGATGACATCATGTCTTTGGGGGACGACCTCAGATCAGATTGTCTCCATGTCAACAGAGATGTTTTCCAATGTTTGTGTTCAACTACAAGTCACAGGGAGGCTGCATGCTGAGAGAGACTTGTGTTGGATATGAGGAGGATAGCATCAAATCTGGTTCATTCAGAGAGGGACTCAGACACAGATGTGATGCGCAGATTGTGTTACAGTGAGAGAGCTGACATTTTGTATTGCTCTCTCTGTTTGTCAGTCCCAACACGTGGCTCTGCAGTGAGTCTGCAGGCTGTCATTCTGTTAGACTGGGCACTCAGAAGCCGGCTCACCTAAAACTCATGCTGTAAGACGATGCAAGAGCTAACATTTAGCAAAAAGTCCTTCCAAAAAATAAAGACATTTACATTATTTTCACTACCCATTTTATCTGAGATGTTCCCTGTCATAAGGAGACCGGGCTGCTGCACTGCACACTTGAGCTGTGATGTCAGCAAATAGCGTGTCATGAAGAGGATGACGTAAATTCAACCTCTACCTCCTGTAGGCTAATGCATGGTGGTGAATGCATGGTGTTTTGAATCACATATGGATTTATTTTTGCCATGTAGCAGTGTATTGGAATAAACAAGCCTCATTGGACTGAATTGAGTCAAAGACAAAAATAAAACCTTAGGGTCGTGGGGTTTGGGGATGTGGATGATAGCGTGATGATGATGTCAGTGCTGGGGTGACGCTGCAGAGGCTCACATGGGACAGAGAGGAGGAGAGGGGGGGGGGGGGGGTGACACAAGGTGCGTGCAGGCAGAAGGGTGAGGGAGATGGATGAGGAGTCAACAGGGACAGTAGCAAACAATTCAGGAGAAAACAGAACAAGGCCGCAAGAGAGGGAGAGACAGAGAGAGAACACTTAGAGGGAGGCAGAGGGTAAGAGATAAAGCAGAGAGGAGAGGAGAGATGGCAGACTGGGTGACATCACTGTTGGCGTTCACAGGCTAGTGCTGCATTGCAGGTAGCAGGACAACACCCAGCTGAGAGGAAGAGGGGAAGAGGAAGAGGAGATGGAGAAAGACAAGAGGAAGAAGAAGAGCAGGAAAGAAAGGAGAGGAAGAGGGGAGCCTGCAGTGTGAGGACGATCAGGACAGACAGTTCCTCCCTTCAGACACACAGGCAGCAAAACACTCAGAGCAGAATTAAGACACTCTTTTTTTCACCTTAAAGGTGGGGTCGGTCATTTTGGAGAAACCAGCTTGAGTGCACAAGAATTTGAAAATACACAGCCGGAAGAAATCTGCCACTTCCTTACAGAGCCCCTCCTCCAACACACACGAACGCGCACATGACCAATGAGGGCACGAGATAAGTTTGTGCACAGATGGAAGGCTGACAGGCAGGTAGGCCATCCAGTTATTTTAGCCGGGCCGGCTCAGATGATTGGTCGTGCTTTTTACAGCACTACGGCTTCCAGAGATGACATTTTTTTATGGATTTATTGTCAAAGCACTTAAGATATTCATTGCTATCGGGATGTTAAGAGCATTCCATGGAATATAACAAAAAGTGTATCTCGAGCCGGTTTCTCAAACTTACCTACCCCACCTTTAATGGATTGATAATAATAAAGTTGTGATACGGAGGAAGCTGCTGGTTCTCAGAAGTACTTAGAAACACAGCTCTGACTTCAATCAAGGGCAGGGAGGTCGTGTTCTTAAGTAAATCAGTTCTGATATTAGTTTTGTCAAATTGATGTTTTTAGAAATCATAGTTTATATTCTATGATTAATAACCAGGGGATATACTTATGAGAAAGTTCCAGTGCTTTAGGTCAAATGAGTTTACATTTGACAACTTATCTACAGAAATATAAAAGGCTCTTTATCTGATTTCTCTGTCAGTATTTTATTCCTAGCAGTTTAGAGAAGGCCATTTCGTTTTCTTGTCAAATTGTCTGGGGTGTACGGAGCCCTGGAGGGTTCATAGAGAGAACAAATACATAAAACGAGGCCACATTTTATTAATTCGTGCGCACAAGATGTAATTCATGGACTCAATTTAAATAAATAAATTTGTTGCGCATTTGTTTTCCGAAGATATTATGATAGTGGCGTTCGTTCTGGTGCACTCCGACAGCATTTAGCACTAGCCTACATCGAGATTAAGATTAAACAAACTGCTTTCACTTGGGAATACACATATGGAGTTAGCCAGATGCGTGTAAATTACTGTTCATGGTCATTTGAAAACAAATGTCGGTGTCGGACAGACACATACACCGAACACACACATCCACACAGAGCTGAGTTGAGCAGAGCACAAACAGATCATGTAGCATTTCACCCATAGCAACAACAACTTCCTGTCAACAGCGTAAACTCGCCTTCAAAATAAAAGCATCTAAATAAAACAGGAAGTTAACCTAAATTACATTTAAGACATATGTAACTGCAACGAAAGTAACAAAAACAATGTAATATCCTTTTCAGTTTCCCAGAACACAAATTGGATTATTTACACATCATGCACCCTGGTGACCGGACATCTCCTTCATAAAACGAGTAATAGGGGGAATAATCGGGCAGTTCGAGGTGTGTGTGTGTGGCTAAAGCTCCTTACACACCAAACTGACACCAAAGAACACCAAAGAACACGTCCCGACGGAACGTCGGCTCACGTCGCCTTACGTCGCCTCACGTCTCCTGCATCTCCTGCGTCTTGGCCATGTGTCGCACTGGAACACACCGCAAAGACTTCAGCCGACGGCCAAGTTGCACTTATGAACTGCGCGTGCGTCAGTGGCAATAACTCTCCTTACCAGTAGGCGTCGGTAGTGTGTATTCGTCATTCAAAAGAGGCAACAACCGGACGACAGACTGCGTGATACACCGAGAGAAGAAGAACAGACTGCGTGATATAAACAAACAACAAATAGCGTGTGCGTTCCATTTTCACTCTACAGCGAGAAGCTCATGGGGCTTTCCCGAACCTGTGTCGAGAGCTGGAGTTAAATGAAATCTCAGATTTGCCTTCTTAATAGTTTGTTTGGGTCCCTCACTTCCGTTTAGCTTCTCATGCTCTGATTTGCTAGCTGAACAGCCAATCAGAGTGATTTCTGTGGCCGACAGCCTACCGATTCAACATGTCGAATCGGCGGCGGAAGGTGTCTGCACGGCCGAAAAGACACGACGGTGCAGTAAACACCAATCTGAGTAGGGCGACAGGACGCTCATCGACGGCCCGACATCTATCGACGCCGAAAATCCGCTCTGTGCGTAAGGACCTTAAAACGGAGCAGCCTCGATCTCTATTCAGCTGTTCTAATGAAGGTAAACACAGTGAAGGCGCTGCGTAAAAGACACAGCTCTCTGCGCGCAGATAGCAGATACTCTGAGAGCCACGGACATGAATTCATAGATCAAGGCAGACTGGTTCACAGACTCTCCTGTTTTGCGAATCCGGTGCTTAAACACATAGCTCTACACCTCTGGCCGAAATGTTCCTAAAATGAAGTCCGAGTTTTAAATATATCTCAAATAATGTATGCACTGCCATTTCCCCACATAAACATAACAGTCTGCAATTAAACGGTTGTCTCCGGTGCGCTCCGCTTCCTATTTGGCTCACGAAAAAATGACGGTTCTCGTAGTATCGTGCGCACAAATTAATAAAGTTCGGCCTCGTTTTATTTAAATTCAGGCCACGAATTACATCTCGTGCGCACAAATTAATAAAACGTGGCCTCGTTTTATTTATTTGTTCTCTCTATGAACCCTCCAGGTTCCAGGTAGGGGTGTCATAATGGACTCATGTCTTCTGTTGTTCTAAATGACACGGCCCAGTGGCGGCGCCAGAGATTTTCTCTAGGGGGTGCTGTGGGGTAGCATGACGTTTCATAGAGGGTGCTCAAACATTAAGGGTTTCCCATTAATGCACCAGCGCTACAGTTGAATTTTCTACTGCAACACTCCCCACATGCACACACAGTGTACCCGCTCGATAATCAGCTCACGGCATATAGGTGTGGGTGGGGTAAAGTGCTATTTTTACAAGTGGGGAGTGGACCTCACCTCCTCTAGGAGGGTCCTCACCTCCTCTAGTGGGGAAGATTTTTTTTTAAATATTGAAGTTAAAAGCATCAATCTGGTGCACTTTGAAAGCCAAAATGAAGAGATCTATGGATATACAGTATCTCTCAACATACATATGAAACATAACTGTAAACAGATTTTCTATTTCTTTATAGATATTTTACAAACCACTCCCCTTTTAAAACAAACCGTTTGAGACCCACTGAGATAACTAGACTAAAGTTAACTAAACACTGAGAGTCCTTTACTTCACCTGAGCTGAGGTTATCTGAGACTCTCAGTCTGACAGGAGAGAGTTCTCCCTCCACCTTGTTGTTGAAAAAGCTCCTTATATCCGTTAGCTTGGCTAGCTAGCACCAGATGCTAACCACAACGATCTCCGATAGATACCCACCGGTGCGCGAGCTCTCTCTCGCTCGCTTGCGCACGCACACAAAATGGCTCGTGCCACACACACACAGAGCAGAGCTTGAATGAAACAGACCCAGAAGTAAGCTACTTGTACTCACGAGGCCTATTATGTGCAGAATCCCTCTCGCTTTTAGGTGGTTTTGATTGAGTGTCCACACGTGGACGTTTAAGGACTAAAAAACTATCCATTTGTCACTTTGCTGTTAGCAAATCATTTGGGGCTCCAGCTAACAGGAAGTCACTCAAGTGTCACAAAGTAATTTAGCCTATAGGTAGGTAGGTCAAAAATCGAATGGGTGCTGGCCATTGGCCTAATCATATCACCTGTGTTGGCTTTATGTTTTTGGTCAAACATTTATTTGTTTCACATTTGCATTGATGTAATCAATAATTTTTCTGATTTAATTTAATAAAAATAATAATAATTTTCGAAAAAAACCCAAAAAAAACCATATTTCTTGGGGGTGCTTAGGGGGTGCTTTGGCAATCCTGGGGGGTGCTTCAGCACCCCCTAGCTCCCCCCTGGCGCCGCCCCTGCTCCAGCCTACATATTAACACAAAAGGCTCCTGGATATTTTAAGAATATCTTAAGTTTATCTTTTATTTCAGAATCCGAGAGTCAACAAATCAAAACTGTAGAAAGATTCTTAATTAGGTTTCTATATGAGGTAAACTTATCGATAATTGAGCATGCAGCAAAATGAACCTCTCTGATTGGTTGTGTCAATGACTTATAGTTGACTTTTATCTTGCATTTCCAGTTTTTTTTCAAAAGACACATTATTTGAAAATACAGTGGATCATCTTTTTTTACTGATGAGTCAAGCGGGGTATCTTTGTATCATCCAACTTGAATTAGACCAACTTGAATCATTTAACATAAGCTGTTCACGTGGAATGGACACCTGGAAGTCCTAAAATCACAACTCTATGATGACCTCATGATGTGAAATACAAAATACAGCAACGTGCACATCTGCGTTCCTAATGACTCATACAATGTAACCTTAAAGTATGTCTAACTTTATAAACAAATAAAATAACATAGCCTCTGTTTCAAGCCCTTATCGGCTCTTCAGCAGGTGCAAATGTTTAGGAAAAAAAAGTAAATGTTTCAAAGGCAATATTTATATGATCTGTTTTGTGCTTACAACTCATTTTGTATGGTAAAGATTATAAAAGCATCACTCTGTGAAATGCTGCCAAATTGAAGGAACTGTGAACCTTTTCTATCTCCAGATCCCTTTAAAAGCACAACACCCAGAGTGTTGCTGTTGCTCGTTCTGAAATCGATGTGACTGAGGGTTTGTCCTGCAGTGGCGTCCTGCCTCAGCAGACTGAAGCAAAAGCACTGAGGTCAGTGCTTTTTAGCATAAAGCAGCAGAGTGTGTTAAAGTGGGAAACAGGTCAGTGCGAACAAAACAGAAACTGCATGCTGAGCAAAACCCCTCTCAGACCAATAGGTTTATATGTCATAGACCTAAACACTTCAAATTAAAACAGTTGCCTTGTATTGATATACTTAATGAATAATTCATAACATCATGCTTGGCACACACAAAGATTTTGTTCTTTGTTTTTTTTGTTCTTTCTGTCAAACCTTTGTAATATCTAGTAAAACAGATGCAACAAAGTATATGGGTTCAATAATACTGTATATATAATACCACTATTCCTTATAGACCTCAAAGTACAAAGATGCACATTAAAAGTGAGGAACTGTACAGTAGAACAAACCAATGTCACATGCATGCAATAATAAATGCCCTTGCTTTGAGATGCCTAGGATGCACTTATTAGGTTGCTTTGGGCAAAATCATCTGTGAAATAAATGTAATGTACAAATCCTGTAAACCTTGCCTTACAGCAGGCCTGCTCAGCATTTTGCTGCACTGCAGTCGATGACTAAATACAAGCAGAGGAAGTGATTGCTACCTCAGCATAAACTGTTTGGCAAAATCCTTGTGGGGTGACACATTCATATCAGTCAATTATATTTCAGCTCTTCAGAGCCATTGGTGGATAAAGACCTCAAAATAAATGGTGGAGCAGCAGCTAAACCTTTGCAGTAAGGTGGGAAATCAGCTCTCAAAAAATACATGCCACTGACAGACTTTACATTTTGAACATCTATACAACATGAAGCAAGACAAATAAGTTCTTGAAACACAACATGAGTAAAATAAGAGTATACATATGTTGTTGAGAGCTGATGACCAACCAAGATGAGATGCAACTGAAAATCTTAAATAAGGTATCCCTGCATAAAAAAAGATGAAGATGATAATATCAAAAAAAGAAAATGTACTAATACAGCTTTTTGAATTCCCTTGTGAAATGACCAATATTTCCATAGCATCTCTCTGAGTTAGATCATGACAATAAGATTACACTGTTATTGGAATAACAACTTATTATTTCCCTGAATATCAAGGCAAACTAATTCAAATGTGTTTGCTATTAGTCAGGTGTTCATATTTGTGTGTTATAATCTTTACAGCCAACTTGTATATTTTCTACTTTTGAATGCTGTTTTTTTCCTATTTTGAGATGTTCACATTTTAGAATAGTTTATTTCTACTCTTTTAATTTCTACTTATGTGCAATGCCTTGATTTAAGGTAAGATAAGATGTACTTTATTGATCCCAATTTGGGAAATGTTTGCATTTTTATGCTGCTGCAACAAAAACATTTCCCAATTTGGGATCAATAAAGTATACCCACAAAAATAAGCCATACCAAGAAACTCAAAGTCACTTAAAGTTTACACTGCATCAGAAATCAGACACTTGAATGCTAAAATGTCTGCATTATATTCTATGAGTCAAACAATCCAGTCATGTTACAAGTGTACAGTGACACACTTTAAGGTTAAAAACAACCCATACCTTCTCTTGTACTCGTCTCTCTCCCTCTTCACCTTGGCCAGCACGTTGTTCAGGGCCCTGATCTCCGGTGTGATGGTGTCGATCTGGACCCCAACCCCGTCCGGCTGCGTCCAGGGGGCCCCGGGGCCCGTGGCGCAGGACTCCCTCCCGGAGCCAAACCGGCGGCTGTGGTTGAAGGACCAGAGCGTCCCGGGGAGGAAGCGGGGGGGCGGCGCGGTGATGAAGTTGGTGTTCGTCCCGGAGTGAGAGGTGTACTTCTCGTTGATGTTGGTGAAGGTTTTGGAAGGGTCCATTGGGCTCAGGGCCGGGCTGATGGAGAAGCCGGAAGTGGTGAGGTTGGAGTTTGAATCCATGGAGAGTGAGCTCGGGTTCAGGTTATTCCCCAGCAGGTGTTTGTTGTCAAAGAGAGGAGGGGGGTTCAGGGTGGGGGAGAGGAGGCCGCCGGGCAGGTAGGCCGAGTTGTTGGCGTTGTGGAGCGAGATGAGTCCCGGTCTGGCTTGGATAGGCCCGATAAATCCAGTCTGGACCCCCATGTCTTTAGTCTGCGGCTTCTGGTGTCCATCCCCCCCACCGTTATCCTCCAGAGCCTGCTGCAGCTGCTTCTCCAGCACCTTGTTCCTGCGCTCCAGCTCGTGCACTTTGGCCAGGAAGCAGCGGAAGCGCAGGTTCAGGGTCTTCAGGACGCTGATGTTGGAGCCTAGGTCGTTGCGCAGCGCCGTGGCCGCGGGGGGTCCGCGGTGCAAGGGGTTGCTCAGGTGCAGGTAGGTGAGGCCCGACGGCGGCAAGGAGCCCAGGTCCAGCCCGGACAACCCATCAGGCCCGAAGCCTCCCTGGTCCCCCAGGAAGTAGCCCGGCTCCATCATAGCTGAGTCGTTCTGGCCCGGCATCTGGTGGTGGTGGTGCTGTGGGGCCAGGAAGCCGCTCTCCCCCAGGGCCAGATTCATGCTCGAATAGGAAAATCTGAAGTGCTCGAAATCCGGCATGAACCCAGACTTCTGCAGTCTATCTTCAACAGTTCAAATTGTTTTGTCTATAAACTGATTATAGTCCCGAACCGGAATGAGGCCCAGCTGCCTTGTTTTTGCAACACTTACTGGTCACACCAGATGCTCACCTTTACGCAGAGGAGCTGTGGCCTAAAGTCAGATGACGGGGGTTAAAAATGATTCTTTACGGGTCTAAAATCGCAGCAAAAATAACAATCCCCCCAATAGGATATTATAGTAAACCTATCGCGATGAGCTGTGAAGTATAAATGTTAATATAGAGTACAAATAGAAGCCTCTAAACTCGCAGACACACCGCTGGTCGCTGCAGCAAAATAAGATGACTGAGTTTACTTTTACGCAGGACTAAATTCTATCTCAGTGGCGACGCGCACTATCACAAACTGTTTATTCTAAGCCCCTAGAATGAAGATATATTGAAGCCACAACCAAAATGTACGCACCTGCCAGACCGAGGAGGAAGCATTCACTTTGGCACCAGATAATGAGGTGAATGAGTCCGAGGAGAGTGTAGCAGCGGTGCAACAGAGCTCAGCGATAAACACAAATGACTGAATGATGCGTTCACTTACCAGACTGACTGTGGAAGAGGAGCAGTGATCAGTGTGCAGTCTGGCTCAGATACCGTAGTGACTAAAGTAGAGGTGCACCTGTGGTAAAGCAGCCCAGGGGGATTTAAAACTTCCTGGATATGGTGAATGGATGGTAACGTTACATAAAGGAAAGTGTTTTAAAATAAAAATGTTAAAGACAAATATCCATTATCGTTCCCAGACTTAACAGTGGTTGCAGCTGAATAAACTATTAGCTAACTCCTTCCACCAAGGAAGCATTATGTAGCACAAATGAATAATGTTTACAGGATTTTAGCTTGATTGGTAACCAATTAACCTTCTCACACAAATCACCCATCCTTCTTAATACATGTTTAGTGACTACAAAACACTTTGCATTACAAGTAGTAAACTTAAGTAAGCTAGCATTCTGAATTTCTTATTCACTATATTGCAACAATGAAATGTATCCTTTTTACGTTTAACAGCCAATACATTTGAAAAAGGTTATCAAAAGAAATATGAAAATGATTCTGACTCATTAACTTTCTGGGCTTTTGTGACAATAAGTTATTTCAGTTGTCAGACATTGGAGGTGTTCCTCCCTGTTTCCCTTTTTACCCAGTAACCCTCCACTCCTCCGCCTCTTTGTATCGTTGCCACTGACCAGCTGATTATATTTATCCCTAATACTAATTGGATATTCTGAAATAAACTCAATGGCACTTGCCTGGGCCGGTATCAACAGCTCCAACTAAAAAGCTGTAAGATCCTGGATTCAAATTGGTTTTAACAGCTACTTCTTTAAATTAAGTTTGGCTAAAATCGACTACAGACAATGAAAGGAAAGCAATTAACTTGTTTGTAAACCCTGGGAATTTAAATCTTTGATTTGACATATCAAAATATATTTTAATTTAATTTTACACTACCTTTATACCACATATAGGACTATAGACATTTCCAGATACAAATCTATTTGTTGCAATACAAATGTGTGAATTTAAAATGACGTGTAAACCACCCTCATAGTCTGAGGAGGGGTGAGACTGTCATTATCAATTGTCAGAGGTAAATAAGAGAGACACATTATTTATATAAAATGATCAAGAGTGACATGTCGCCCCAGAAAACTACACTTCCTGTATGGCTTTCTCCTAACTCTCCTCCTGCCTTCCGGACTAGATTTTGTCCGCCATCCCAGAAATTATTAATTTTGTATTCTGCACCAAACTCAAAGTCATTTGTCTGGGCACTAGATTAACAGCTTTAGGGTCCTGGATGGGAATGTTCAACAGCCCACTGATTTTTATTTATTACAATAATTACAAATAAACATATGTCTAGAGAGAGATGCACTCTACAAAAAAACTCTTCCACAAACTGAGGACTTTATTATCATGTCAAGTGCAACAAGACCATTCAGTACAATACAGTTCAGTGATGGAACATCCTCTCTACAAACACTGCTTAGTGCAGACTTCACTGCTGGACAGAGCAGAGGCGACTTTATCATATAAAAATCTATGAATATTATTATTTATATTATTATCTAGACGTTTGTTGAGGAAGATGTTTGCTCCTTGGGCGGATGACACAACATGCATAGGTGAAGCATGAGGGAATCATGGGAAGGAAACTACGAGTCGTGACAGGGCTTTACTCCTTGGAGAACATGTGCAGGACCAGGTCACACACACGGCAGCTGTATGCAAACTCATTGTCGTACCTGCAGACAAACAGTGAAGGAATGAAGTTGCATTATAGAATATTTATGAATGGAGAATCATGTCCTATTTTTGGTGTGCTTTAACTCACCATGAAACCAGCTTAACAAAGTGCTCATTCAGTGCAATGCCGGCGCCAGCATCAAAGATGGAGGAACGAGTGTCGCCGTTGAAGTCTGTGGACACAACCTGAGCAGAAAGAGATGAACAAAGATGTTTATACAGGCAGGGGGACAGTGAATACAGATTTGTGTCGGACATAAACTCATCACCAGTATGTCATTTCTGGTCCTGGATAAAAGTGGCATAAGGCAGGCTGTGCAGCAACATAGGGATGAATACGTAATTACAAATATCTGCACATCTGGCTTTATGGATTATAAATAGTTTTCTTTTTACTTTAAATATACCTTATGAGTTCTTAATTAAGTTGAGACCATATTGTAGCAGAATAGATGTGCTGACATCTAGTGGATTTTGCATTGCTATGCACACACCCATAGAAATGGCATCAGACTGTTGTTATGTTCAGACACGTCTATAATTAAACATAGTAAGAGAATATGTTGACATTTGTCCGTACCTGGTCCTCTGTGTATCCCAGAATTCCCTTCATGGGTCCCTCAGCAGCGGCCTTCATCACCTTCTTGATGTCGTCGTACTTGGCCTGAAGGGCGAGATATTTTTATTAATTTAAACTAAAGGTTTTAAAGCTTTATATAGGTGCAAGTCTATGTAACATAATTATGCCTCAATGCTACAGAGTGTTATGAATTAAAATGTATGGAAATTCAGTGGATGATTGAGCTCAAGTTTTCTTCCTCTCCGACCCCAAACATACAGTCAAAAATAAAGATGTGGGATCTAGTTAATAGCTGAAAAATAATGTTTTCATCTGTATATTGGTTCCAAAGTTAAGCAGCCACTTGGTTAAACCTTTATATTTAATCAAAGTTAGAAGATACTTACGGGCTTCTCCAGACGGACAGTCAGATCAACGACGGAGACGTTGGGGGTGGGGACACGGAAAGCCATACCGGTGATTTTGCTGTAAAAACAGGACCGTCAACAATCAGACACAAAGTAAAAACATCAAAACAGATTATTGTGTATTATTGTTTTATTCCCCTTGGTGACGTCTCCTTGATGATCTCCTCCAAAGGAAGGTCAAAAGTCGAACTCTGGTCCGTCCCATACAGTATATGATCAGCCTCACTGCAAACCGTTTTTGCATGTGCTGCCTACTTTTATGAAATATTTCTAGAGTGTGGGGACCTGCCACTTTTTATCAATGGGATCATCGTGTAGCTCACATACATACATTAAATGTCCTCCTGGTTGACGGCTGCTTCCTAAAGTCACAACCAAAGTTTCAATTGTTCTCTATTTTCAATTATTTTAGTTTGGATGTTTCAATTGCTTCGTAGCTTAGATTCACTTAGCAACGGAGTTTGGGAGCATCAGTTTAGTTGTAGTTTTTCTTCAAGGATGTCTTCGTTATTTAGTTTCAGTTAACAGTGATAACCCTGGTCACAACCCTATATAAAATGATCTGAAAGTTGCTCGTACCCGTTGAGGTCGGGGATGACCTTGCCCACGGCCTTGGCGGCCCCGGTGGAGGCGGGGATGATGTTCTGAGAGGCGCCGCGTCCGTCCCTCCACAGCTTACCGGAGGGGCCGTCTACGGTCTTCTGTGTGGCCGTGATGGCGTGGACTGTGCTCTGAGGAGAGGGAGCAGAGGGAAGCATTACAGATTTATAATGTATCTATTAAATAGGATTTTTAAGTTCCTAGCTACAAACTATTAAATAACAACAGAGCATTTCACTTTACCGGGCTACTCTTAACAGTGATCTAAGAAATCTTCAAGTTAGTGAGTTTTATTTGTGGAAAGAAGCTAGTCTAAACATTTTGGCTCCGCTAGGAAATACAATTTCCCAGAAGAATATTGGTTAATAAACCACTGTGATGATGTATGATTTTAATTAAAAAAACGATTGAAAAACATTTGCTAGTTTCAGCTTTTTAAACGCAACAACATGTTGTGTTTTCCTTGGCTTTTTGGCTGCAGCTTACACCAAGTAATCCTATCACAGAACATCACTTTGCGCTCCGAGAACTTTGTTTTATAATTGTATAGCGCTTACTTGGAAATGAGCATTTCTAAGTAAGGGCTATACAATTAGAAAATCATTTAAAAAAAGGAATACATAAAGTCATTACAAAAACAGTCAGTTTTATGTTCAAAACTGTGACCAGATATCTTTAAATGTAATTTTCAAATTATTTTCCATTCATCCTTAAGTGCTCATCAATAACAGATTGTATTCAATTAGAATGTCTGAGCTGTTTACCATGAGACCCTCAACGATGCCGAAGTTATCGTTGATGACCTTGGCGATGGGAGCCAGGCAGTTGGTTGTGCAGGAGGCGTTGCTATGGAGACAAGAAGGAGACTACATTTAACCAACGACACAAAGTTAAGGTATTACTGCACATACACTCAGAGCTTAATTTAGGAGATGAGCTTGGTTTGACTTTTGTTTCTCATTGGCAGAGCATCTAAAGTCATAATTTGAGGTCAGAAACATAAATTAAAGCTGCGATTAGAACTAGGAACATGTGTAAGAAAGGTGGAGACTCACCTGACAACCTTCATGGAGTTATCGTACTTCTCGTGGTTGACGCCCATGACGAACATAGGAGCGTCGGCACTGGGAGCGGAGATCACCACCCTCTTAGCACCGCCAGCCAGGTGAGCCTAAGGAACACAAAAGAGGTCAAAGGAAAAATGTTATAATATTTATTTCATTTGAATTAAGACTAGAAATGTAGCTTTAAAAATATATCATCAAACAGTCATTTGTAATTCCCTGCATGCTATAGAATGAAACATTTGACTGTAAATGAAGTGTATGCTGCTTTTTCTGGTGTGACCTTCTACAGTTTACACTATTGAAATACAAGAAGAGACTGAAATAAATATGTATATAAAACTGGCGTTGCAGGCCAAAACAGCATAATGTTTGTTACTTCATTGATATACAAACAGATGAAAATACATTTGTATGATTTTTTTGTCCATTCTCAACAATTTAAAACATTCTCGCTGTAACTTCCTGTCCTTATAACCGTCTCCCAGTGAAATAAGTGGGAGGCAGATGGTAAACTTACAGATGCTTTTTCGATGGTGGTGAACACACCGGTGGACTCCACAACATAGTCAGCCCCAGCATCGCTCCACTTGATGTTGGCGGGGTCCCTCCTGTGTAAATAG